TCTGTCATCTTTTTTTCAATCTTCTTCATTAGTTACCAGGACACTAGACTCGTTTAACAAATGCCTTGACGCTATAATGGAAAGCCTATACAGTAGTCTTCTATGAGGATGAGATTAAATGGGCCAATCTCTACCTCTCTTGTGATCTTGCATTATAAAGGATCGGCAGATATAATTAACACTGCTTTACATGTTACCAGCTCATTTTTGCATTACACTATTCTAATGTATTATTCTAATTACACAGTTAGTGAATGAACAGTATGAGGAGAACATAATGGTACTTTCACAAAATTAGACCAGTCAGGGCATCCATGAAAAATGTAATATTGTTACAACCCCAGAGAAAGGAATGCCAAATTGGGCTGAATATTCCAAAGACACTTACAGTTCCTATCCAGGAGGTGAGCAGTTACCAAGCCAAAGGATTCACAATAATGAATATATATTTTATGTGCTAACAATGTAAATTATTTCATTTGATTTGCATTGTTTCCTGGTTAGGCCCTGCTCACCTCCATTAAACAAATTAGACTGTATCGGGTTTCACTAAGCAACGAGGATTGTCCCCATAGACAAACCCCAATCCTCCCCCAAACTCTCTTGGCCTCAAATTGTCAAAGGACAATGTGAACCCGATGCCTGTCTTCACAACCACCTGAGTAAGTCAAATGACCGGATAACCTCTCCGCCAGGACAAGCCCATCTTGAGCCTAGTGTCCAGGTGTTTGAGGGATCTCTGCGTTCCAATATCTCTGCTTCCTCTTTGTCAGGGCAGATGAAAGTCCTCAGATCAGAAGGCATACCTGTTGCCAGGAGCTCAATCCTTAAATTGTGGTTGAGATTCGGTCGTGCAAGAGTATCACAAGCGAATCTTAACAGGAGATCTTCCCGACGTGAAAGGCGCGATACAAATTTAATTTGTTGTTGCATTTGTTGCTGGAACTAGAGTCATCTCCTCAAAAAAAATCTGAGGTCAGTCAGACATTGGTGACATCACCCATTTGCATAGGGTCCACTTCCACATGTGCACGGATGATATCCAACTCTATCTCTCTGCCTCCTGGATGAGTTCTATCTTTCTACAGTTCAACGTCAGTAACATCTAGGCTCTCCTACTTGTCTCCAATCAGCATCATTTCACCTCAGGTTTTAACGGGTGCTCACTGCACTTCATGGAGCTGGTGAGGAACCTTTGTATGTTGTTCAATCGCCAATTATCCTTCAAACACTATCTTTGACCCTTCAGTGAGTTGTTGTCCTTGAGTGGTTTAGGTCATACCTCTCCCACTGTCTTCATTTTGTTACCACAAATGGCTTCTCCTCCAGCCCCCGCACTGTCTCGTGTGGTGTCCCTCAGGGCTCTGTCCTCGGTCCCCTCCTCTTCACCCTCTATATGCTCCCCCTTGGTGACATCATCCGCAGACATGGGGTAAACTTCCACATGTATGCGGATGACACCCAACTCTACCTTTCCTCTTCTACCTTCAACTCCACGACCACCGATGTCCTGACAGCTGCCTGTCCGACATCGAGTTCTGGACGAGAGACAACTTTCTTCAGCTCAACGTGCGCAAAACTGAGGCCATCCTGATGGGCTCGCGTCAGCGCCTCCGCACCTCAGGCCCTGACAGCATCAGCATCCAAGGCTGCACTCTCCACCTCTCAAAGCCAGTCAGGAACCTCGGGGTTCTGTTCGACCCTGAGCTGTCCTTTCTCCCTCATATCCGCACCACAACTGGCACCGTCTTCCATCACCTCCTGAACATCGCCAGACTACGGCACTACCTCACCCCTCACGCTGCTGAAACTCTGGTCCACGCCTTTATCACCTCAAGGCTGGACTATGGGAACTCTCTCCTCGCCGGCCTTCCCGGCCTCCCTCCACACTGCAGGTCATTCAGAACTCTGCAGCTCGTGTACTGTCCCGCACCAGACACCGCGACCACATCACTCCCACCCTCGCTCGCCTCCACTGGCTCCCCATCCCCCAGAGGATCGAATTCAAGATCCTCATCCTCACCTACAAGGCCATTCACGGCCTTGCTCCCTCCTACCTCTCCGACCTACTATCCCCCTACCTACCTGCCCGTACCCTCCGTTCCTCTGGCTCCGGTCTGCTCCACATCCCCCGCCCCAACCGCCCTACCATCAGTGGCCGGGCCTTCAGCCTCTCAACCCCGAGGCTCTGGAACTCAATCCCCCAGTGCCTTCGCCGCTTCCTCCCTTTCCTCCTTCAAGGCCGGTCTCAAGACCTTTCTCTTCAACCGTGCCTTCAGCTCCCCTCTCGACTCTCTACCCCCTCCTCGCTCCCTCCCTTCCCTCCCCTCACCCTGACCATTTCCCCCCTCCTCGCTGGCTCCCTTCCCTCATCCTGACCATTTCCCCCCTGCTTGGGTCCCGACCCAACTGTCCAGCGCCTTGGGACGTCCTCCCGACGTGAAAGGCTCTCTATAAATTAAATCTTGTTGTTGTTGTTGGTGTAGGCTCAGCAATGTGGGGTGATGAGGGGCAGGACATACCAACTGGGCTGATGCATCATTATGTCCATTTGATAAGACTTACCAACTCATATGCCACAATCCAGATATGGTCCTGTAAAATTCTTATGAAATGTGTACAGAACCCTCTTGTGTCTCAAGAACACATTCGATATATTGGACTCTCAATTTTTTCTGTTAAGTACTGACTGTGTGGCACTCCCCTTTTCTGAATATCTGATTCCTGTTGTTCTCTTCTTTTGAAATGCTGATGGTGTCTTATAATGGAGGATCCACAGATGTGGCTGTAGGAAAACCATCTGGAGAGTAACAAAAGAATGATTTTCATTAATTGCTTCAGGACTGTCCATAAACTGAAGATGTTTCTGCAACCAGGCGACAGAAAACCAATACTTAATTGGTGTACTTCATGCACAATAATGATTCAAGGAAAATGAACAGTGAACTTTGGAGGCTATGAGGATTGTCTTGGCTGTAAGATTCTGCAGAATTGTGGAAAATATTTAAATTCAGTCTTCATTTGGAAGGTGATTTTCCACTGTGCGTATAAAGAACTCCAGAAAACTTCCTTCCAAAATGCTGTACAATCTTAAATTTTAAGACAATATTATGACTAAGACAATCTTATGATTAAGACCATCAGAAATTTGGGGGCTCTGGTTGGCAAGACATTGCTAAATGTTACTGACAACCATATTACCGAAAGTATGAAAATTACTATGATTATTATGTATTAAGAATTACATTTTAAGGAAAAAACATACATATAATTTACAAGAATCAAAACCATCAGAGGACAATTTGGCTTAATTCCCAGAGACTGTAAATATTTGGAATGGTTCTTTTTTGGCCTCGCAAGCGTTTTTGTTTTGTGAGGAGAAATGGATATATTTGATCATCCATTTCATTGCTTGCTGTTATGTTATACAGTATTGAATTTAGCCATATGTTTTAAATCACTAATCTATTTTCTAGGGCTCCTGCATTCCAAACTACTTTGGAAAGTTTGTTGTTTACAAATGCCAAAACTTCATTACCATTCAACTCTAGACATTGTGATTTTTTTTGCTTATAAAAAACTGCATTGTTTAATTTTAAAATCATAGAATCATAGAATTATACAGCACAGAAGGAGGCCATCCAATGAGCTGGTGAGGAACCTTTGTATATACCTTTGAAGAGAGCTATCCAATTCAGTCCCACTCTCCTGTGCTCTCCCCATAGCCCTGCAAACTTGTCCTCGCAAATAATTATCTACTCTCTTAAAAGTTGTTAAGAATGGCTTCACTGAAACAAGCAATTCAGGTTTGGTCAACTGCCATCTGCATTAAGTGGATAATAATAATCCTTATATTTGATATAGCGCCTTATCATATATTCTAGATATCTCAAGGCACTTCACAGAATATACTATAAAGTAAATTGACTGTATATTTTGTGGGTGCAACTGTCCCACCTAAACAGTGCAAGTGTGTAACGCCAATCTACAAACTCACAAATAGAGTCAGTATTGTTAGTAGGCATGCTATATTATGAATGTTAAAATGCAGGTGGACAGTAAAGATCTCATAGCACTATTTGTAAAAAGAAGGGAGTTTCTCCCAGTGTTCTGGTCAACAATCCTCCAAATGGATTTGTTCACTCAACTCATAACTACAGTATATCTGTGAATCTTTAACTGTGTGTAAATGTTTGTTGCGTTTGACTTCCAAACGCGTGACAGTCATTACTGTGAAGGGTTTTGCAACTTGTTGACGCTATGGGTGCTACAAGCTCTTTCTTTCTTCCCTACTCATAAAGTGATACAGCATGGAAGCAAGCCATTCGACCCAACCAAGATGACGCTGCAGCAAAAAAAATGCAGATAAAAAAGTTACGATGCACGGCTGTCTATAATTCTTTATTCATATGCATTATTCCTTTCTCTTGATCACCATGTATCGTACCACAAAAGTGCTGCGAGCCACATTTTTTTTTGTTTATGTAAATTTGAACCATTTACCGGATTCCTGTTGGGATTAAGTTACCGCCAGACATTGCGTCCTCACTCCCGAGTCCAAATATAGTCCTCTGCAACTACCACAAACAGTAATAATAATCCTTGCATTTGACACGGTGCCCACAAAATATGCAGCGTATTCTGTGAAGGACTTCGAGACGTCTCACAGACCCGATAAGGCGCTATAATCAAACACAGGATTATTATTAAGTGGTTCTGTCTATTATTATTATTATTGCTGTGCAAACGGAGGTTGATTGACACTGCCAGGACGGCGGGGCGGGGCCGAGAGGCGATGCGGGGGCGGGGCTTGAGGGGGGCGGGGCTTAGGGGAGAAGAGGTGGGACTGAGAGGAGAGGTGGTGGTGGTGTGTGTGTGTGGGGGGGAGGGGAGGGGACGTGAGGACGTGTGCGGGGTGACGTAACCATGTGACGCGACTGCGTCTTGTCGCACGCACCGCCCTTCTCCCCTCCCCCCTCCCCCTCGGTTCGAGAAGGAGACGGAGCGGCGTAGAGAGAGAGAGAGAGAGAGACACAGTCGGCGATACCCGCGATTCCTCGGCTTTACTGGTAAGTGGCGCGTTGCCAAACAGCCTCTCTCTCTCTCTCTCCCTCACCCTCCACACACACACACACGCGCGCGCGCGCGCTTTATTTATTCCGAACCTTTAGCCTCAGCTCTGCTTAAACGTGTCGTGCGAAGAAAAGAAAGAAAAACAAGACCCCCCTCCCCTCCCCCCGAGAGAAAGAGGGAGAAAGAAGGTGGCGGCGGTTAGTCAGTCAGTCAGTCAAGTCAAGTCAGTGGGGCGAGAGGGAAAGAAGATGAGGAGATTTCAGCAGCGGACGCGACGTCGTCTCTCTCTCTCTCTCTCTCCTCACTCACTCACACTCACTCACTCACGCAGTGTCGTGTGTTTTATCGTCTTAATAAAATGGACGCTCTGGCGGCCTCCCTCCCTCGGGGAAATTGAGGAGGGAGAGAAAGTGGGAGGAGGAGGAGGGAGAAGTTGTCCCTTTTTTTTAAAAAAATAATGCAGCGGCTCAGCCTGGCCTGCAGGGGGGGGGGGGGGGGGCGTGTGATTATTTATTGTGGGGGGGGTGTGGGTGGGTGTTGGTGTAATGGGGAAAGGCCGAGTCGCAGAGATATAAGTTGTGTTAAGATATCTATATAAGATACTACGCGAGAGATCTATATGTTTGTGGGGTCGGCGGCCGCTGTTTTGGTTTGAAGGGGAGACAGCGAGAGAGAGAGACCGAGAGAGAGAGACCGAGAGAGAGAGAGAGAAAAAAAAAGAGGAGAAAATTGGTTTAAAATGGACGTTTGCTGAGTTTGGTGCAAAGAGTCCGATCTCTTCTCTCTCTCTCTCTCTCCTCCTCCACCACCACCAACCACCACCCACCCACCCCAGGGAGAGCCCTGGGACACCAACCCAACCCAACCCCCTCCTCTTCCTCTCCTGCAAAACACTGGGGTTAAGTTTCGGTCTTGAGTTCTGGCGACGGGGGGTGTTTTTGTCAGTGGTTAAAGAAAAACTTTTTGTTTCAAAACTGGAATGTGTATGATATATATATATATATATTTATATAGGATGTTTTTTGGTGGGGAGGGAAGTTGGGCAAAGCTACTTATTTTTAAATTTAATTTAATCTGTTTATTTGGGGGGGAGGGGGGGGGGGCAATGTTTTTATTTATATATATATATATCATTTTAAAAGAGTCTTTGTATCGAAACAGAAAGTGGATGGAATCGAACTCCTCTTTTGCGATTTAAATAAAACTCTGACCAGACTCGGTCGCCTTTCAAGAGTTCCACAGCACAGTTGTCTCGTAAAAAAATGGTGCTCTCTCTCTCTCTGTGTGTGTGTGTGTTTTATACATATATATATATATAAAAATAAAGTGGACGGTAGTTAGCTCCTGAGATTAAAGAGTTAAAGGCGCGGTTGTATTTACAACAAGTCGGGGAGAAAGTAAGTACTGTGCGTTAAGATAATTAATGCACCGCTGAGGGTAAGGTGCTGTTGTATTAAATGGTTTGGAGGGCTGTGTGCTCCCTCTTCCCCCCCTCACCCCCCCTTTTCCCCCCCTCTGGCAGCGACTGGCTTTCTTTCCTCTCTCTCTCTCTCTCTCTCTCTCGAGTTTGGGAGCCAATAAACAAAATGTACATATCTGAAAATGGACGGGGATTGCGTTTGCTTTTGCTTTGCTTTGCTGCTGCTGCTGCTGTTCTTCCATGTCACGGAGCCCCCGAGACCTGCCTATTTTTAACGAAAATTCCGCTGCAGTGATGTGATCTCTCTCTCTCTTTTTTTTCTCTCTCTCTCTCTCTCTGTGAAGAAACCCAAATAAAGATGACTTATTGCATTTCGAGGGAATGTCGACACTTTTTAAATTCGCTTTCCTCTCTCCCTCTCCCTCCCTCCCTCCCTCCCTCCCCCCCCTCCTCTTATTTAGGAGGAGGTTGCGTTTCGAGTGCTCAAAATGGACGGGTTATGTATGTATGTGTGTGTGTGTGTGTATGTATGGCTGCTGCTTGCAAAATCTGAAAGGCATCCCCCCCCCCCCCAACAAAATTATCCACGGTGTCAACATCAGTGTTGTGCCTTTGAGGCATTTTATTCGTTCGATGGGAAGACCTTTTTTTATGTGCAGACTCGAGATCGAGAATCGTTTCCCGACCGAAAAGGACCGATTTCCATTGCTCTTTCCCGACCGTCTCGTAATGTGAGGCTACACAAAAAAAATTCCTTCAGTTTTGTTTTCCCCATTTTTTTTTGGGGGGGGGGGATGCAGCTGCACTAACTCGGGGGCCAGCGACGGCAGTGTATGTTTTAGGTTTCTGTTGGAATCGGAATAGTTGAGGTTTATTTCTCCCGAGTGAATTATTTGCTGTTTACTCTCTTAACTGTGAATTGGATTATTTTTAAAATCTCGTTGCTCAGGAGGTTGAGGTTTTTTTTCCTAATTTGATTTTTATGTGCTGGGGTACTGGTGTATGTCCATGTTGAAAGGCATCAATGTACATGCTACATGGCTGCTCGGATTGGCACCTTCATTGTGCAGTTTTCTTCTGCTATTGTGGAGTACGTCCCTATATTTTGATGCTGCATTTTGATTTTGTATACCGAAAGGTATTGAGTTCAGCACCGGTAGGTTTTTTTTTGTTTAAATGTGCTATTTAATTTTTTTTAAAGTACAGATCCATTGGAATCAAGCTCATAGGATGCCATTTGCCAAATCCTTTTTTGTCTGTGGTGATTTTTGTGGCATGTTGCAGTGTCAGAGGTTACAGTAAAATGCTAGTTTTCACACCTGTTCTGGTTTTGTATACCCCCCCATCTATTGTTAATTGCAAACTGCTTACTCACTGTGGCATGTCAGCCTTTTATTAGAAAGGAAGGTGAGAGAAGCACATTGTATAGAACAGATAGTTGGAATGCATTCAGGTAGAACCTGCATATATTTTTATATTGCCTTTTTGACTATTAGTATTCCACGTTATTATTAGTGAGACCTGTTTTGTGTAATTGGTAGTTGTATTTTGTAAGATTTCAATTGAAACTAAATGAACTAATACCTCTAACTGTTTAATCGCATTGAATTGTTCACATGGTTTCTGCCTTTTTGCGACTAGAGAATTCTGCTTATCATTTGGGCTTTGTTTTGGAATGGAAGTTAGAATGCATACGGAACTGGTGTGGTGCAGTGCCATGTCGCACCTCTAGAATCCTAGATACTGTATTTAGTATGTGTTTGCACCCCTGGAGTGAAATCACTTGGAATATCATTGACGTTCCAGACATTGGTTTCCATTTCTTTCATAACTATCCAATTCACATCCTGAATCACAATTCAGTTGTGGGTTCAATTTGTAATGGAGTTTGCTTAATAATATTGCTATCATATACATTCAAACCTCCAGCAACATTGCAAATATTTTTTTATTCTATTTAAGCCTTGTGTGGCACCGGTGGTTGGACTCTTGTCCCTGAGTCAGTGGAAGGTTGTGGGTTCAAGCTCCACTTTGGGACTTTGAGCTCATGGTCTAAGCTAACACTCCAGTCCTTTGGTTGGTGGCGCTGCATTGTTCGGGTGAGACATTAAACTGAGGTCCAATCTGCCTGTCCAAGTGGACATTAAAGATACCGTGGCACTGCTCCAAAAAGAGAGGGGAATTTGTCTCAGGGTCCTGGCAAATAAACCCTCAGATGAAATTGATTATTCTTTTCATTTGGGACATTGCTGTATGACAATTGGCTACCAAATTTGCCTACAAAATAGTCACTATACTCTACAGTAGAACCATATGAAGCGCTTTAAAGCACACCGGGACACTACCCTGCATGAAGGGCTCTATATAAATGCAAGTTGTTGTTGTTTAAAACGTTTTGATGTTGTAATAAGGCACTGTGTCGCCTGCAAGGATTCTTATTGCAATATAGCCCTTTGTTCCATGTTCAGAATACAATCGAACAATTCATATTTTCTTTTATAAACAGATGTGCAATAATGCAGTCATGTCATTACTTGGTTACCTTTTATTTAACTATTGCATCTTTCCTAACCTTAAAATTGACACTGGACATGAAACCTTGTTCACTTGTCCAAGCACCACTATGAAAGTAAACTTCAAAGTGCTTAAGTAATATCTGCCCACAACAGTAATTACCATTTTATCCTTTCAAATTTTCTTATCCGTTCCTTGATTGTTTTATAGGAGATAGAAATGTCAAATTAAGTGGATGGCTCAAATTCAAATTACATTCCAATTTGAGGATTTCTCTTGAGTAAAAATTTTCATGGGGAAAGAAATTAAACAATACTGGTGTTTCACCTTATTGAGTGAATGGAATAGATGCTGTTTCAAATACTTAGCTAATTAGTTGATGCCATTAGAACTTCACTTGCAGTACCTATACTTTTTGGAGTCAGGAGCACAGTTTAGCATTCTATAGACCTTTTAGTATTCAATTTTAGGTCTGCAAACTGCAGGTTATTAGTGTTGCTTGAAAGCAGCTACCATACAGTTGGGCCTAGATACCTAATAACTAAAATTAACTTATGGTCACCACTTTGTTTTATGGCTAAATGATATTGATGTTTTGGTTCTCTGGAATTAGAATATAGATTATAGTTATTTTAGAATTGGTTAAGGAAGCTTCTCTAACAGTAATGTCTAACTGAAATTTATAACCATTGTTGAAATTAATTTGCTGTGTGTATTCAGAAATTCAAATTGGATCATCCTTCTGGCTTAATGTTGGAATAATGCTTTGCCATAGTGTTATCTTTGCAGAGGATGGATGGTCAGTAAAATGGTTGTCAGAATTATATCTGGACTCATTGCATTGTATATTCTCTGGGGCAAATAACATCCTAGTATGGATAACTAGAAAATACTAGTTTTGATATTGGCTATGGCTAATTTATTGGGAGTTTTGTAACTGAACAAAGCTATAAACTTTAGTCTTAAGAAATGGATCATTCTTTAACGTATTGCATCCAAGAATAAAATTACTGTAGTTTGATAGTATTATGACTTAACTACGTCTGTCAAATGATTTAAATA